AAGCCCAAAGCACGAGCCTGGGCCCGGGCCCGAAATTTAGCCTATACTATTATTATTATTAATGTTGAAGCAGCTGAATAGAGAGAGATAGATTGAAATTATAAAGAAAAGAATAATATATATATATTAAATTATAAATATATATTTTAATAAATATTATATTATTTATATATTTTATATAATAAATAAAATGCATATTATATTTTATAAAATATATAATACTGAGTTGGGTCGGGCCAGGCTTTTTTGACAAATCCCGAGTCCGGCCCGAAACACAGTCGGGCTTATTGTGTTAAGCCCAAGGTCAGGCCCACGGGCCTAATTATATGACCAAGCCCGGCCGGGGTGCGGGTCGGGCCGGGTCGGGCCGTCGGGCTACCCAGCCCATGAACTGGTCTACTCGCGACTAAGCGACGCGATGCTCTCAGGAAGCTTCTATCTGACAAGACCGTACCCGCCAGACTGCGCCACGTCTCCTGACCGACGGCGTAGTCCCTGCCAATTCGACAGACTGCACCCACGTCTCTCGACAGATGGTGGTGTGCCTGTCCTCCCGGGACGTGTCACTCACCCGATTGGGTAGTACCCTACAACGGTTACCTGTGCAGCTCTGGCAAATAACGGCTGCGACAGAGGTCTAGTAGCGGTTACGCCCGATTTGACAAGAACGCCTATATAAAGAGCGCCTTAGTGGAAGGGAATGACTCTCTCTCGAACATCTGAGATCTTATCTTGAACTTACTTGCTCTCGAGCTAACTCAATGATCTAGCGCGACCTACACTCTTAGCCTTTTTTACACTCTTTACTATTTTCCCCAGCGTTCTAACTTGAGCATCGGAGTATTCCCACCGGGCAAGTCCCCTGGGAATTCTTCACCATTTTCTTCTCAGGTGTCGTCCGTTGCCAGATAGGAGCCAGTCAGCAGCCAGCTAGGAGCGCCCAGATTGTGTAGCATCACAAATGATTAGAAATATAGTGAAGTCTACAAATTAGCAAAACAAACAGGCATACATCGAAGCACAACAATCTCTAATCCAGGGTACAGACTACAATATAATAATAAAACTATCGTGTTTATGTGTGTCTTACCTCTAAAACAAGGTAATTGGACAAGGACAAATGACTGAGTTCGAATGGATGCTTTCAAGCGCGGTGCCAGCTCACTCATGTGGTTTTTTCAAGATGCAAACGATTGAAGCTTTCTTCCAACATGTTGTAGAACAAAACCTTGGTTGTCAGAGGTAGTGGATGAATATGGGAATTCAAATGAGCCGAACTAGACCTGTTCATGGGCAGGGTTGGGCCGGGTTCGGGCCGAGATTTGCATATGTATCAATAGAATACACTTAGGACCGAGCCTGAGCCCGGCCCGACCATCGGGCCTAGGTCTTGAGCCCGAGCCTGACCCTTATATAAAGCCAGAAGCCCAGGCCCGAGCCTGATTAGATATTTGAAAACAATTTTATTTTTATTTTTTTATTCAATAAAAATGTTTATTTATATTAAAAACCTTTAAAACTCAAAAATAATAAACATCTCACTAACACTATTACTTGAAGAAAAAGAGAAGAAGAATAAAGAAAAATATTGTATATATATTTTTTATTAAGTAAAATATATTTTTATTATTTAATATATAGTATTAAGTCGGGCTTGGGCTCGGACCTGACTTTTTTGAGAAAGCCCGAGACTGGCCCGAAAAAAAGTCGGGCCCGGTGCTTTAGGCTCGAGCCCGAGCCCGTGGGCCTAAAATTATGACCAAGCCCGACTTAACAGGTTGGGCCGGGCCAGCCTGTTGGGATACCTGGCCCATGAACAGGTCTAAGGTGAACAAGTCACTAATGGCGGAAAAAATCTGGCTTTGAATGGTATAGCAAGAAATCAATTGAATCATTCTAAATTAGCAACCCAAATCAGTTTTGAAGTTCATATTAAAAGAAAAAAAAAAAAAAGAAAGTTGAAATTGAAAAATGAGGAGATAAACTAAACTTTCGAAAGGATAAACATATAACGAACTAAGTCTCTCTCTCTCTCTCTCTCGCCTCTTATTTTGGGAAAAAAATTTGAAACCAGTTAACATTGAAAACAGTGAAGGCTGTTGTCAATAGAGAGAGTTCGATGAAGATGAAGATACCTGCTGTTGTAAATGGAGAGAGTTCGATGAAGATGAAGATACCAGGACAAACTACGTATCTTTCTGTTGACTCTTATTCTGGGAAGGAACACCGAAACCGGCGAACATTCAAACGGTGAATGCAGTTTGCAACAGAGGGCTTTCTATCTCTATGTTGGTTATTGTTCAGGGAAGACACTCCGACAGTGTTGAACACTTAAAATGGCAAACCAGGGGGAGGCTTGCAGCGTAGAACACTGAAATGGCAAACCAGGAGGAGGGTTGCAGCGTTGAAAACTGAAAATGGTGAACCCGTAGGAGGCTTGCAGCGTAGACCACTGAAAATGACAAACCGGAGCAGAACGATTGAAGCATTCTCAAACTCTTTATTGTCTCTTTCGGAATAAATAGTGAAAACTGTGAAGGTGATTGTAGCGTAGAAAACTCTGGAAGTTAGCTTCGAAATGGCGGGAGTTAGGCGTATAACGATTGATTCCAAACCCCTATTATCGCGAACCAAACAGGGCCTAAGACTTGGATTTGGTCGACTTGGCATGGTTGAAGGAGAGTATTAATACTAGGGGTGCAAATGGATCGGATCGATCCGATCCAATATGAAGTCCGATCCTATTTTGTTGGATTCAAATATCTCCATTTTGGATGTTTGGATCGTATCATATTCAGATCACCCCTATCTTATCTGATACATATATGTTATTTGTTCATTTATTTATTTATAAATATATTAGTTATATTATATTTTTGTAAATTTGTTATATTATTTATTTTTTTTGTAAAAAACATGTATATATATTTTTAAAATTTATGTTTTATTTTTTAATTTTTTAGTTATATTGTTCATTTATTTATTTATAATTTTTATGCTTTATTTTTGTTTTTCTTTATTTAATTTTTATGTTTTATGTTTTGTTTTAATAATTTATTATTATTATTTTTTAAATTGGATAGGATCAAATCAGATATGAATATCCAACTTTCTCATCAGATAGAAATTCAAATCCATGTCTGTAAGGGATATGCTCTTAATAGTATTAGATTGAATTCAGATATACCCTAATTTGAATATGATCCGATCCGTTTGTATCCCTAGTTAATATTTCCCACCTTAGGAATTCTTTTCTCTTGGGAAAGTTCCCGATTAGTACCCTGTACTTTGGGCCTAGTGCCACATTGGTCCCGGTACTTTAAAATGTGACAATTCAGTGCTCAAACTTTTAAAAGGCGACAATCTTGTACTTGTGCCATTAATGAGCTTGTTAACCAACCATTAAGTGGCATTTGAAAAGACACAAATGTTCTTTGAGTGTCATCTATTTCTCTTTATCAGTCATTCAAATGTTGATAAAAAATGGACAATCCTAAATCCTTACCTCTTCTATTCACGAAAGTTGGGACTGTTCATTTCTTATCAATGTTTGGATGGTTGATAATGAAAATTAGATGACACTAGAAAGGCATTTATGTCTTTTCAAATGCCACTTAACAACTGGTTAATGGTAGGTACTGGATTGACATGTTTTAAAAATTCGGATACTGAATTGTCGCATTTTAAAGTTTGAGGACCAAAGTGGCACTAGACCCAAAGTACAGGGTACTCATCGAAAATTTTCCCATTTCTTTTCTTTTTCTTTTTCCTTTCTTTTTTATGGATAAGGAATTGTTTTCATGAGGCTGAGATATTAACTACACCAAGAATGATAATTCATAAATCTGACACTGGTGGAAATGTATCGGACCAAAATAGCAGAGGAAGAATGTTATGGTCCCGCGCGTAGGATCCCGTCATGGATCGGTCCACGGTGCGAAAGCCCTGCTTCCCCTTGCGCCTTCCCTTGCGTGCAGACCCTATTGCGGAAACTGAATGGGTGATTTGTCTAAGAAACCACCCTAACTCTCCGAATGGGTGATTTGTCCAAGAGACCACCCGAACTCTCCTCACTCTTTTCTTGACTGCGAAAACTGAATGCTTTACTTCAATTCGTTGCTCCTTAAATAGAAGATTACAGAAGAAAATTCCTAATTAAACTCAAACTCCAACTTGAAC